TTTTTTAATCTACTATAATTATTTTATTCTTTTTAAAAAATATTCTTATAATTTTTCTTTTCACAAAAGATTGCATTGTCATCAGTTTCTAAGCTATCCTGAAAGTTTCAGCTTGCTAGCTAGTTGGGAAGTGAGCAAAATTTGAGTTGCAAAATTTGATCCGGACAAACAAACGGACAAGAAAGCAAGTTATTAAAAACGTGTTAAAAATGTAAAAAATTTCAATTGCTACGAAAGGGATCTCGTCACAAACACTGAACGCTAATAAAATTATTTTACAAAATATGAACTTGAACAAGCCCTTAAAAAAAAAGAGCGAAGTTGCACGACTTACTGAAAAGCACTAAAAAATTTTCAAATAAAGTTTGTGGTGTTGAGTTTTCTTGAAAACTGAGGTAAAATTATAAATTTCCTCTTTGAAGGAAAATATCCAGTTTTTTTATAATGGATGCCGCTAAATGAAGCTGATTCAAATATTTTGCAAAAATAAAGCATATTTTTATTTTTAATGAAGTAATCTGTACTTTTCAAGAGTTCTGTATACACTTTTTGAACGAAGTCCGCATTTAGAAAATTCAACGAAATTTTGCACTTTCTCTTCGAATGGAATAAAACCATTTATATATACATGATGAAGAAAAAAAAACATCCTTTTCATTCCTCCGCCTGGAATTATCGCAACAGCAAAAAAAAAAATCCGAAAAACTCAAGATGTGTATATTTGGAATAAACCAAATTGAATTCTTGGATATAGTCTATGTTGGAAACCGAGAAACAGTACTCCTCGTCTGCAGTACTTCTCACGTCGTCGTCGGGGGTAAGGAGTCGTACTTGATCTTCTTCATCATGACTTTGAATGGGTCTCGCTTGGCTTCCTTGTGAACCTGCTGCACCCACATGAGTTGCACGAGCTGAATCTTGAGTTTCTCCTCATCAAACGGGTCTTCACCGTCTGCCGCAGTCGCATCTAGGATTTCTGTCTCGGGAATTCGTTTCAACATCGCCCAAATTATTTATGTTTATGAGATTTTTAAAATTTCAGTGCGGGACCCAGACATTCAGATGATTTGACTGAGGGACGCATGGAACTGAAAAAAAATCTTTACCGGCATCTTGAAAAATTCTCAAGCTATGGACAATTTTCCAAAATTCATAGAAAATTTGTAAAAATTTGACTTTTTTTTCCTACGTTTTGATATGTTATGAAGAAATTCAGCGATTCATATTCAAGAAAATTAAAATTAGTTTCATGATAAAATTAATTTAATTCAGAATCAAAAGGATCTATGACCAATCAAGACAAACAATGCGAGACAAGGCCAATTTGAGACACGGCCAAATTGAGACATACTTCAGGAGACAAGGACTATTTGAAACAGAAACTTTTTGAGACAAGGCAAAATTTGAGACAGAAACTTCTGGAGACAGCAACAATTTGAGACAGAGACCTATTGAGACAAATACATGTTGAGAAAAAAAATGACTTGACTGTGTTTCTCCCCATTATCTTATGTTTAAGGTGTGAAAATGAACAAAAATTGCACTGTTTGGTGAAAATTCCATGATTTCAGGGTGTTTCTTTTTGTCCATAATCACTGTCAAGTGAGTTTTCCTCTTTAAAAAAAAAACTGAAATCTTTGAACCAACTCCTCAGATTCCTCTCCTCATTAAGATGATGTTTGTTTCAACTTGTCTAAAATTGTCCCTTGTCTCAAATTGTCCTGGTCTCAAATTGTCCCTGTCTCAAATTGTCCTGGTCTCAAATTGTCCTGGTCTCAAATTGTCCTGGTCTCAAATTGTCCTGGTCTCAAATTGTCCCTGTCTCAAATTGTCCCTGTCTCAAATTGTCCCTGTCTCAAATTGTTTCTGTGTCTCAAATTGTCCCTGTCTCAAATTGTCCCTGTCTCAAATTGTCCCTGTCTCAAATTGTCCCTGTCTCAAATTGTCCCTGTCTCAAGTTGTCCCTATCTCAAATTGTCCCTATCTCAAATTGTCCTTATCTCAAATTGTCCCTGTCTCAAATTGTCCCTGTCTCAAATTGTCCCTGTCTCAAATTTTCTGCCTTTATTTGTCCTGTCTCGAATTGTCTCAATTTGTCCATATCCCCAATCAAAAACTTGAGAATTTCTGCCTCTTTTCTCAAAAAAGGAAAAATTAGGTCAAAGGCCTGTTCTAAACCAGTAAAAACAGAATGAAGAAAATTATCTTTAAAAAGTATGTGCTTTCAAAATCAAAATCAAGCTGCGTTGAAAAAATTCACTACCATTTAATTACGCGCAATTAACTCACTAAGACCTACCCTTGATTTTGGCCAGTTTGCGGTCTCTCACTTCCGGTGGTGTCTGATGCTGGCCGACCGGAAGTAGATCGTAAGAAAAGCCAGACGGGAGACTAAGAGCACTAAAATCCCGCTCATCCCTCAGTTTCACTTTAGTTCCTTCCGTCACTATGTTGGTCAATAAGCCCGGCACATCCGCTCTTGATTGAATCAAGGTTACGAAGCACCTGGAGAAATAAATCATGTCTTTTTTTTTACAGTTGGATGAAGATCCGTTATGTCGTATTCTACGGCAATGATTTCGTCTTCCCGATTTATGGGGATTTTTTTTATGTGATCTCCAGGTGGAGAAAGACAGGACAGACAAGACTCTTACAGGTTTGGAAGAACTTGATGCAGAAAAAAAATGCGAATTCACTTTTTTTTTGCATGAGGGAAAGACGTATCGTTTTGATGTAACATGCTGTGAAAGGGAGACGATAGGAAAAAGGCTTGAAAAATATACCAATTGAAAATTTTTCGTTATATTCAGAGAATCGTGGATCACAATTGCATCGCAATATTTATTCAGTTTTACTCGAGGAAAAGTTCGTTTTTCAAAATTATTCATTTGCTGTGAAGTTGGCATTGCGTGTAAAATATGATTGTTTAAAAAAATAGTCATGTGCTCAAATGGTGGATATAAAGGACTTTAAAAATATACCGATTGAAGGTTCTTCCTTCAGACGATCATGGATCCCAATTATTTTGCAATATTTATTCCTTCTTCAAGGAAAAATTCGTTTACGTTATTTTTATATTCATTTTCTTTACACATAGAACAAGCAATGTTAACACAGTTGGCACTGCTTTTAAAATTTTATCGTTGAAAAAATAGCAATGTCTTCAAATGATGGATAAAGAGGTTAAAAATATACCGATTGAAGGTTTTTTTCACGCTATCATGAATCTCAATTATTTTACAATATTTATTCCTTTTTCAAGGAAAAATTCGTTTGCGCTATTTTTTTATATTCATTTTCTTTTCACGTATAGAGGCAATGTTTAAAAGTTTGGATTGAGTGTAAAGTTTTATCCCTGGAAAATTAGTTGCGTTCAAAAAAATTTAATACGAGTAAGGGCTTTATTGAAGAATATACCGATTGAAAGTTATCCTTATTCAGAGAATCATGGATCACGATTACTTCGCGATGTTGATTTATTTTTCTCCACGAATTATTCATTTTACGTGATTTTTTTCGAATTCATTTTCTTTTTACGTAGACGCAGTTTTATCAAGTTAACACTGCGTTTAAAATTTTATCGTTTACAGTTTAGTTGTTTTCGATAAATGGACTTGAAAAATTCACCGATTAGAAGTTCTCCTTCAGAGATTTATGGATCACAATTATTTATTCAAATTTATTTCTGCTGCTGAAGGAAAAATGTCATTCACATGATATTTTTTTACACATTTTCATTTCATGTATAGAGGCAAGTGTCATAAAGTTTGAACTGCGTTTACCATTTTATGGCTGAAAGGATAATTGTGTGTTCAAACTGTCACGTTTGGCAATTCAGTTGCTATTCTGTAAACTCAAGATATTTTACAGACCTGAGAAGCAATTTCACGGCAATTTTCAATTTTAATCGAGGTGATTACGGCATGTAAAAATTTGATCGTTGAACATTATTTGAGAAAGCTTTTTTTCCCGCCTCGGTGGACCTTGGAAGTCGTCCAGAAACTTCTTATTAGATAATGAAACATTTTTTCCTCGGTTCCCTGAAAGAGATGAAGCTTTTTTGCAGTGGAAGATACTTTTTAATTTTTTTTTTTGATAGCAGATGCCATGAACTTCCGAATCGGAAGATTTCGGGCAAAAATGCGCATTCTTCGGATTGAATGCAAAATGAAGAGGAAATTCCCTCGTATATAGTCGTAGTAAACCGTTGTATAACGGCATCTCATGAGCATTATTTTAATTTTTTACTTCAAAATACTGCGAATTCTGAATCAACAGCAAAATGTCTTCGTTTTTTTTTTGCAATAGCCCGGCTGATGATGAGAAGGTCGAGAAAAAATCGCACTTTTGTTCAAATAATTGCAGCAGCTTTTGTTAGCACAGAGCCCGAATTCTTCGAGATTCGGGAATTTTCCCAGGGAATCGAAGAAGAGCAATTATTTGCGAGGACGCTGTTCTCACGAACCCGTTTGAAAGTGAGAATCACAAGATATTAAAATTGCTAATAAAAATAATTTTTGAAAATTATTGCGTATCTCTTGATTTTCTAAAGTTATTCCTCGACGTCCCGCAAATTTCATTCTCTATGATGCACAAAAACTGCAATTAAATTGCTTGCGTGAAAAAGGGAACGCTTAAATGATATTGTCAATTGACAATTTTGGCGGTTTTTTGTTTATATTGGCGAGCTGTTTTTGAATAACTCTATTTGCCACTGGAATTCTGAATCAGCTGTTTTGATATTTCCTGTGGGTCTAACATGGAAGATTACTTGGTGTTGTTGTCATTCAATTGGGACTGAATTTTAGAACACGTGAAAAAGCAGCAAATTATTTTCTTCATGCTCTTCAGCACGAGAGATTAGTCATAGTCCTTCATCTAGAAGATCTATGAATATTTCTAATCATTTGTCAAGAAAATACTTTCCATTGATTCAAATTTAAAAATGAAGCCAAATTTCCAAAATAAGTTCGAAGACAACGATTTTCGAGTCCAAATTCGAGAGGAGGAAATTTTCAACATTGCTCAGTGTTTTTATTTTTTTTGGAACCACAATAAGTTAATTCAAATTTTCTGAAAAATAATTCCGAAGGTTTTTCCTTGACATACAGTATTAAAATAAAGTATGCAATAATGGAAATATTTTTTAACATCATTCGGGCGAAACTTTGTTGATCTATGTTTCAATGTCAAAAAAATTCAACGAATTCGTACTTTACAAGAGTTGCATTGAACGTGATGTTCGAAAGTAAATCACTGAAAGGGTTGAGCAACTAACTTCATTTTTTTCAGATCATGATACAATACGATAAAAACATTTTTATTTCATTTTTTTCACTGCCTGTTACGTAAATGTCAACCGTCACGTGAAAAGAAGACACGTGTAGGAATATAACCAAGTATTTTTCTTCTCCATATACGTTGAAGTTTTAGTCTCGATATTTTTTCATGACCTCCTACAACATTTTATTACAATTTTAATGGAGATGTCAATGGAAAATATTTTCTTGAATGTTCCTTGCTAGCCTCAGTCCGAGAAGATTTATGCGGAAATTAATGGAGGTGATTTTCCGGAATTTATGCCAAGACTTGGGGAGATTTATTTCGTTCATTTAATATTTAAAAAAATAACGTGATGGATGTGTTTTTATTGGATTTTTCAGGGCCTTGGTATTCAAATTTTTTTCGCTGCTGTCAGTTAATTTGTTTCGCAAAAACTCAGCTCACAATTGGACTCGTGCGTTTTGCGTTTGCCCGCATTCTGTCAGTCATGTTTCGTACTTGATATTCAAATTTTATTTTAAATAATTTGATGCATGACGAGGTCAGGGAAGCAAGAGGATTATACGTGCCTAAAGATGTAAATCAGGCTCTCTCCTTTATTTTCTGACGTGTAGTTGATTGTTCAGTGCCTCATCTCAATAATTTTTCGAAACTCGTCCTCTTGAATAATTGATTTCGCGTCGCCATAAAATCTGAACAAGATGCTAATGATTTCAAGGCAACATACTCATCAACAACCGTCGATGAAAACCCGGAGTTTTGAATTTTTAATTGGCGGACGACGAAAACAAAAATTGAATTTTTACGGGACCTAAAATGTCAGGTGATTCGGCAGCATGTACTTAAAAATATATATATGATCTTCTTGGCAGTCGTTATGGTTATACAGTCGAATAAGAAACTTGATTTACATTCGCAGTAAAATCCTCGCTTCCTCAACTTTCATTTGTCAAATCCATAATTCAAGTCAAGCCAGAAAATAAATCAGCCCGTAAAAATCCATCACAGTGCCATAGCTTGCCGTCCTTCAGAATATCACCTCGAACTTTATTTGAAAATTGTAATGATACAGTTCCTTTTATAGCAGGAAAAAAGACCATGTCTAGTCCGAGAAATTTGTTTGTTTCTCTTTGTGGTTCTTGCCATTTTTTCTGTCATGGAAAACTAGAAAATGGATAGGTTCGAAAGAGTGTATTGTCGAGAGTGAGTCAGTGCCAAAACTATCCGGATAAAAAAATTTATTTAAATAAATATACATTTTTTAAAAATTTATTTGTATACCTCACTTCCTTTCATTTAACTCTTTTGCTGTGGCAGGTGAGACAAGATTTTTTTGATAACTTTTATCCCAGAGTTATAAAATTTAAACATTTAAATTTACTAAATATGTTTGCGTATCTAAATATTTTTTTTATTATTGATGCGCAGACAAGTTTTTGCTTTAGATTTTCCTCCATGGATTATTTCAAGATTTTCAGACTTATATGTAACTTTTTTCATGTGCCATTTTCATGACTTGGGGTGAACCCAAGTGTGCTGATGTGGAAGTAAAATATTCTGACTTTGCCATGGGTTGGAAAATAATCATTTTTAAAATGATTTTTACTGATTTTCTTCAAATTTTGTTCTGAGTATCTTTAAGGCCCCATGTGAAATTCTTAATTAGCCCTTGACCTTTGTGAGGTAAAGTTGGGATATTTTTGCAGTTTCTTCCCATATGAGCATTGCAAAAAATCGAATTTTTTGCACCAAGGCCTAATAAGTTGGGGAAATCAATTTTTTTTCTAATTCTGCAGGACATTTTGCACGAAAAAGGAAATTTTTGCTGAATGGCATTTTTTCCTGCATTCCCAACATGTGATTTTTTCAAAATGATGAGAAATTATCAAAGCAGATTTTTCCTTGCTTAAGTCTTCCCATAACCCAGGGGGCATAAATTTCAAAGACCTTGGTCAAACTAAAATGTGCCTTTATTGGGGAAGTTCACGACGAAAAAATATTTATTAGAATGAGATGAGCCATGATCATGATATTATTCTACTCTATGATGCTAATTGAATTTTATTGTGGCTATTCGGAAAGGGCCTGAAATCAATTTCGTTGCCGCCAAGAATTTTCTACGATTATATTTTTTTTTAAGATTCTACCTACCATAAAAGGCTCCAAGAGCCTCAATGCCAAAAAGTTTTGATTCCCATCTTTCTCCAATATTCTAATTTGTTTTTGTTTTGTGCATCAT